AGAATAAATATTTAATTTAGATATACATTAAAAAGTAATTAAATTTAGATAATCAATATATAGAAGAGATATTATTTTTATTAAAATATCTCATCCTTATAAAAGATCAAAAGTTTAGAAACTCAAATAACAAGTTGCAATAAAAATATATTTTAAAAGTAGAATTAGATTGACATTGTCAATGTATTTTAAAACTAATTTTTCCGACGTCTAATAATTAAGGATTACTTTCTCAGTTTTCTATTTAACCTATTTCTAAAGTTTATTCTTTTTCATTTTTAAGAACAATAATAATAATAATAATGATGATGATGATGATGATGATGATGATGATGATGATGATGATGATGATGATGATGATGATAATAATAATAATAATAATAATAATAATTCTTGATGGGATCTGATTTTAATAAGTCCTGATCTGATCTGATCTGATTGGATCTGATCTGATTGGATCTGATCTGATCTGATTCAATCTGATCTGATCTGATCTGAATCGATCTGATCTGATCTGGTCTGATTTGATCTGATCTGATTTTAATAAGAATAAGAAAAAATAAGAAAAAATAAGTTGAACGGAACGGGGCCTAAAATATGGCTTAGAATTCCAAAAATTCTCATCCATCTAAACCCGAAAATATAAAAGTTTTTTGTCTTTTCCAGTAATTGGGTAGTGTAAATGGTGACTCAACGGCCTGCTCGCGAGCAATAAATGATTGACATACCCACATTTAACATGTCTGGTGCAATAAAAAATGTAACACCCCAACCCGCATAACCCGAATAAATAGATTAGCTGACCGGGTTACTACTAAATTGGTATCCACATATAATATTTTCCAATAAATTAGAGTAAATTCCATAATTGGTCCTTTATAACAGGGGGGTTTCCATATTTAGTCCTCTATTATCAAATATTACCCCCGTAGTCCTTTTTTTAAGGGTACCTTTCCACAAATGATTCTTTTTTTGATCTTCTGCCATGTTGGTGTTAATTTAAAGGCTAAAAGTATAATTTGACGTCAACATTATGTCTAGTGACGTGTTCTGATATTGGTTAAGTGGATAACACAAAAATAATGACTATGATTGTGGGCTAGGATTCTGACGAAAGATCACATTTGTAGACTATAGTTGTCGTAAAAAGCGACTGTAATTCACAAACGACGCAAACAGAACAGCCTTTGGAATTGTGTATGACAAAAAAGATATATTATCATTGTGAAATTACACTTTTAGCCCTCAAATTAACACCAACATGATAGAAGATAAAAAAAAGGACTATTTGTGGAAAGGTACCCATAAAAGAAGGACCACTTGAGTATTATTTGATAATAGAGGACTAAATATGGAAATCCCCCTGTTATAAAGGACCAATTAAAGAATTTACTCAATAAATTAAAAGATTTAATTTAAAAACTCAATCAATTAAAAAAATAATAACTTGAATACATATCGGAGTTTATACAAAAAGTGCAGAAGACTTATAATTTAATCAAACATCAATTTACTAAATCCCTTCATCTATGCATCTCCCCCGTCATGCTGCTCTCTGGGATGGACTCCAGAATCAATCTTTCACAAGCACCTACGTGTAACAAAGGGGAAAAAGGGGCTACACGCTCAGCAATGAAGCTGAGTGAGAAATATCTAACAGTTCGAACATACACATAGGCGAATCCACTAATTCATAATTACCACATGACATCATGCACACAACATGATTGACAACAATCATACGACATACAAGATATAACATGCATAATCAACATCATATATAACAGTTCATAAGATACGAACAACAATGGTACATGTATTGGCTAGGAACTTTCCTTTTTAGTTTACTTTACTTTCCTTATCGTACTTGGCTCTTAACCTATGCTATGTTAAAGCTTAATTGAATTTGACTTGCCTATGGAGTCATGACCTTCCCCTTCGGAACGAAGGTCAAGCTCAAACCAACTCGGGAGTTCCTCGTTGGGTGGGTGAGATCCCTGTTTACTTCGGAACGATAGTTCTTAGATCCCTATGTACACGTTTTTACCCGAACAACCATGGGACCCAGCAGGTACCACATGGCTCTAACTTGCTATACTTATGGCATACCTTGCTACTAATCCATTCAGGTCATTTCATAGAGTTCTTCTATGTGATATATCCAACATTCATTAATCAATACATAATACAACATTCATAAATTCACAATGCATTTAACAAGATATCCAACATAATCAAATAGCGGCGAACACTGGGTTTAAACACCCATGTTTACCGTCATGCAACATACGGAGTCTCGGGATCAATCCTTGACGAAAACACAGATCGATAGACCCGGCACCAGGTACCAGACGGTATCTGTCACGGTATGGGGTACCGGTCCAACGGTATCCGGGGTTCCTACCGAACCATCTGGGCTCTTCCGGTGGGGCTATCACGGTAGCCGACTACCGACTGGGCGGTAGGGCCTACCATCCGTCCGGTACCTAGGTACCGAATGGTCACAACTATCGGCATAGAGAACGTAAACATACAGAGTGTGACGGTAGCAAGGTATCGTCCTAGTGGTACCGCCTACCGTATGATAAAACGAAATCCATATTCATACTTGTTTCGTGTTCAGCATCAAACCAACAAAAATCTCATAACAACAAATACCAATAGATTCATATTAACATTCTAAACATTATCAAGTACATTAATGCATCAATCAACGCCTAAGTCATGCAAATTGCCCTTTTGATTCATCGACAACAATTCCCGAAACCACAATCAACATTTATACAGATAAATCACATAAATCAACCACGATTTACTGGTCCACGTACTCACCTCAATTTATCAGATTCAATTCAAAAGAGAGTCGTCTAGATGCCATCACCAAAATCGTGCGTCGAAGCTGCAGACTAGCCCAATCGCTGCCAGAACCTACCGCTACTACCTGATTGACTATGGGGGGCTACACGTTACATTATTATGATCCAAAAATGATTTGTTTGATCTGAATTTGACTGTAGAATTCAAATGGTCTACTTCCTCCATCCCCAATTTGGTTACAAATTGCAGGTTGCAGAGTAAAATTTTTTATTTTTTGAAATCATTTTATTTACAAATTGGTATATCAACATGATATAAAAATTACATATTAAAAAACTACGTCAAACGTTCTACAAAACAAGAGGCGACAAGAACATTTTATTTTATCAAATACTTAATGAAATTGCATAAACAAACAAAAGTTATAGAGAGGAAAGAGAAAAAATAATTGTAATCTATTTACGGACGGAGGGAGTATTTTAAATTTTTTCTTGTGCTATTGATTTTAAAATTAAGTTTGAATTTTTTACTTTTAAATATTAATAAAAGAAACAATTTTTTTAAGAAAATATTTTAATTTTTACCAAGCAACAAAAAAACATTTTTCTTAAAAATTATTTTCCTTTAAAAAATATTTTTTCTAGAAATATATTTTCTCTCCACGAACCTAAATTATACTCGTTCATAATGGAGTTTACTTGCCAATGCCTCTAGGTTCCTCAGTTGAGTAATCTCCAACTGGGCCCCCTTCCACCGGCAGAAGTTTTTAAGATGGAGATCTGTGAATGAGTTGAGGAATTCAAATGGCGAACTATATCAGAGGCCATTATAATAGGACCCGAAGGGCATTTCCTCATTCAATTGCTCTCTATAGTTTCCTCCTTTTTGCTTTATGGGTCTTCATATTTACTTTTAACAGCAGAGAAATCTTTGAGGATGCCCAGAAACCTCTCTTTTTATTGGAGCCCGAGCAGGTATTTTCCTTTCTCTTATTTGGTGCTTCTTTGGTTATCTTTAGACTCTTTGTTGTTCCCGGAAGTTGGGTTCATTTGATATGTTTCGCTTGTTAATAGTTTCAATTTGCGATGCAATTTTGCCTTGGTAAAATTATTGAAAGAAGCATTTTTGCTATGGCTATTTGATTTCCATGATCTGAGATATATTAGAACACAAATGAATCCCAAACCAATGTTGATTCCCTGATATTTTGTGACGTGTTGCAACAGAATTAGAGCCTTTTGGCTAAAACCATTTTTGCAGAAGTAGATGTTGTTTCATCTTGGTATATTTTCCCATTAAATGAGCACTTTGCACCTTTGGGAATATTATTTAAGGTCTATTGACTGGACTAGGGTGTCTTCTTGAAAGATGACAATGGCCAGCCATTGAGAATCCCTTAACCCTCATTGGTTGGTGTAGGAATGTAGTGAGCTCGTAAAGTTGCTCCAATTCATATTATTGTTTTTGGATATAACTATCGTGTTATCCAACTTAACATATGCTATCTCCTTGCAGAAGGAAGCTGGACATCTATGGGGGGCTCCTTATAGTAATGGTTTACAACCTTGTGTCAAACCTACTGTAAAATATAAAGGTTTTCTTCTGTAACTTCACCTTTGCATGATGTTCATGTCACTGAGATGCACTCGTCCATTTTCTACCGAACTTTTTTTATAGTTTGCCTTATATGTTTTTTGTTCAGCTACAGATGGATGGGATAAGTACATGACTGTTAAAAGTAACGGGGGTTTAAATCAGATGCGCACCGGTGTAAGTTAGACCCTCTCCTGTTTCGAGTCAATGAGTCATATTTGCAAGGTTTTTGCTTGAAGAGTCATTTTTACAATGTTTTAGCTTCAATTGAATGATCGACTAAATCAGAGTGACACTGATAACTTTCCTTTATTTTTACATTCTATGAAATTTTGGGCAGTATATGCAACAATGCATCAAGGGTCTAGCACAAACAACCTCTCTATGTTTTATAGGGGTAAGGTTGCCTACATCTTCATCGTTGTTGAGTCATGTTTGCAGTACTTGACCTTATGATTATATTTACATTCTTTACATCCTGACCCAATACTGTTTATGGAATGACATCTTTGAACATGTCTCGATAAGTTCATTTTCATTAGAAAGGGAGCCTAGGTGTAGACAGGTATTTTGTTTTCCTCTTCACTAGGTGTAGGAACATCTACAAGCTGTATGTTTCATGCCGCTTTCCACCCTCAAGCGCTTCATAGGGAGTGAAATTTTAATTAGGTCTAAAATTCTCTTGCGTTTGTTGCTTAATAAAAGGAATAACAAAATCAACATTTGCAATTTGAAAGCACACACATGACAACAACACAATACGCTTTAGATTGAAATCGAATAGCATGTATGAATTAAGAGTTCCTTTGCTAAAAAAGGAAGTATAAGACACTAAAGTGATGTTAGATAAGGTGATGAGCACAAAAAGGCGATTGAAGGTTGTTCACTTTTAGAGATGGGTGGTATGATTTTATTGCTCAACAGGAAATCCTTAACTTATGAGTTAATTCTTGTAGTTAAGGGGCGGTTTGTTTCAGCTTCTTAATGGTTCAGATGTCTGAATGGTTCAGCACTTAATGGTTCAGACTGTTTGTTTCGTGAGCAGATGTATGAATGGTTCAGACATTTGCCTCTGAATGGTTAAGTATTATACAGAGTCTGAATGGTTAAGACCTCTTATCTGAATTGATCAGACATTTGGTTCAGACTTCTCACTAGCTCTTAATGGTTCAGACATCTCACTGGTTCAGCAGTTAATGGTTCACACCTCTTACTAGTTCAGCACTTACCTATTCAGAAGTTGCCAAACAGCCCCTAAGTGTTTTTAAGTTATTGAATGTTTTCAATGTCGTAAAGATGTAGTCATGCAAATCTCATGTCTGATATTTCAAACAAAATCTTGTAATATATAAAGTATAATTACAAATATACTCCTTCCGTCCCACTATATTTGTCCACTTTCATTTTTACACAACATCCAATGCACTTCTTTAATCCATTTTATCTTGTAATTTGTATATTAAAAAATTATAAAAATTATATATTAATAATCTATATGTTAAGACAAATCAAACAAGATCACACATGACTATATTTAGGCTTACACATTGAGAGAATTTGATGAGTCAAAGTGCTTAGATGAACAGTTCCAAAAATCAAAAGTGGACAAATATAGCGGGACGGAGGTAGTATTATTTTATAATAAAAATTGCATAAATAAATTGAGGTGCAACGTAACCACAATAACTTTATAAAATTTAACATTTTGATATTTATGCTAACTTTATATTACTCCCTCCGTCCCAAAAAGAATTTCCTACTTTGATTAACGTGCAAAACCCCGTGGATTTTAAAATGATTTTATTTACAAATTGGTAAGGAAATAACACATAAAAAAATTATATTTAAAAACCTCATCGAAAACTCTACAAAATAAGAGGTGACAAGAATATTTTATTTTATCAAATGATCAATGAAAGCACGCAAACAAATAAGAGTTATCGAGAAGCCGTAATAGAAAACAGGAAAGACTTTTTGGGACGGAGGGAGTAGTTTTTTTTGCAAAAGTAGTTTTTTTGTGTATGAAAAATACTAATATTTTTTTTAAATCTTAAAGACATTCATTAAGATAACGTGATGATGATGATGATGATGATAATAATAATAATAATAATAATAATGTATAATAATAATGTATAACAACAAGAATTAGAATGAGAATAATATAAAAATACACTAAAACAAATGTTTTAAATTTTTTTAGGTTTTTCAATTTTTTGAAGTTTTTCTAGTTTCTTTGTGTATGAAAAATACTAATATTTTTTTTAAATCTTAAAGACATTCATTAAGATAACGTGATGATGATGATGATGATAATGATGATGATGATGATGATGATCATAATAATAATAATAATAATAATAATAATAATAATAATAATGTATAATAATAATGTATAACAGCAAAAATTATAATGAGAATAATATAAAAATACACTAAATAAATGTTTTTAATTTTTTTTAGGTTTTCCAATTTTTTGAAGTTTTTCTAGTTTCTTCTAGTTCTTTCCAATTCCTTCTAGTTTCTTCCAACTCCTTCCAGTTTTTTTAGCTCCTTCCAGTGTTTTTCCGTTCCTTCTAGTTTCTTCCAACATCTCGCTTTTTTTTTCCAGTCCTAAAGAACATGCTCTAAGCTAATGTTGTCAATGAGTTGGATGGATATTCAAATGCATAAGGCTTATTAAGCTTAGTAAGGCTAGAAAATTAGAATCTCCTGAGAAGTAAATAAATTATTAAGCTTTGTAATTTATATAATTTAAAAAAATATGAACTTATTCCTTTGATATTTTACGTAGGCTATATTGCTATGATGAATGTGTAGACATAGTAGGATGCATAAAATTAGAAGCATGATCATTTAAAAGATGGTATAAGTAGCATCTATTTAAAATATGAGACAATTGCGCTGGTATTGACACATGCCGAGAAGACCTAGTGATGCACCACATAGAAGACTTGATGGGTGGATAAATGTTTTTTTGCAAAAAAGGAACACGGAGAGCGAAAACAATTTGGGGGGTGGTTATTAAGAGTGATTTGTCTTATCTAAATTTGAATGAGTATGGCTATAGATAGAAAGAGATGGAAAAAGAGAATTTTTGCCAATGACCGAAGTCACCGAACTTGATTTTCCTCTTGGTTCATGTAGTCAGCCCCTAGTTACTTGAGATAGGGCTTTGTTGTTTACGAAATAGAACGAATAGTTTATTTAGAGAATAACCTCCAAATAAACTCCACCAAAAATTACCTAGGGAACTAACTCTTGATAGAAATAGTTTCAGATAACCTCATAACAAGTTGCAAATTCAATTATTTTTTATATTGTTTTTCTCATAGATAGCTGATATGGTTGCTGTGGCGCATATGATGAATGCAACTATGGTGATCCCTCAGTTGGATAAGCGTTCATTCTGGCAGGATTCGAGGTTACTGACACTTTCTTGTCCCACTATTGTTTACTCGGCTTCTTTTTACCACATACCTTCAATTTCTACATTATGTGCTGCCTCTCTCTTCTCTCTCTCCCTCCTTTTTGTAAGAAATACTATCCCAAAAAAGAATTGTGCTTGAAATCTTATTATTGCCACCATAAAGTTTTCCATTTGAACAAATGAAACTACTACTCACTATATTTAATGTTTTTTCTTATAAAAAGTGTCTCAACTAATTTCAGTCTGTTTTATTTAGTTAAGCCAACATATAATATGAAACATATAGCTATAATTGTCCATTTTAATTAGTCGCGCCTTATTAAATATAAAAGTTGTAGCATGGGACGTGGGAGAAGATGACTATTTTTATGGGACGGAGCTAATTGCATTTGCAGCATAGGTTTTTTTTGTTGTGAAAAACAGTTATGTTCTAATAGGCTAAAATACAGTATTTTCTCAGATATATTTGATGAAAACCATTTCATCGAAATGTTACAAGGAGATGTCAGAATTATTAGGACGCTTCCAAGAGAATTAGAATCTGTGCATAGAGCAAGGAAGCACTTCACATCCTGGTCCAGCAAGGGCTATTATACTGAGATGAAGCAATTATGGAAGGAAAATCAGGCATGTTATTTCATTCAGTATTTTTGTGACTAGGATATATGAATGAAATACTAAAACATGGAGATTGTTTGCTATTGAAATGATTATAATTAAGTGATTTAAACCATGTAAAATAGTTACATGATGTCCGAAATTAAGTCATTTCAAATAATTATATGAATCTCTTAAAAGCATATTTAGATGTTTGTAACTAAGCTTTTCTTAGAAAATGTTGAGAATTTGAGGGATATGAACTTTTGTTGCATCAATATTTCATTTTTATTCAATGAATCTTTTGTGCCAGGTCATTCATGTTGCTAAATCCGATTCTCGACTTGCAAACAATGATCTGCCTCTTGACATTCAAAGACTAAGATGTCGCGCTTTATACCATGCTCTCCGCTTTTCTCCTCCTATTGAGAGCCTTGGAAAGGTTAGAGAAGCTCTCTCGGGAAATTTTCTTAATAAGAATAAGTTGTTTTTCTTGTCACTGATACCGCTACAACATTTCATTGTAGAGTTGTAGTTTCTGCATTTCTGAATTGTTTATCATTGCAGTGTTGAAGGCAATGATACTTTGTTTTTATAGTAAAGGAAAATTGTTTGGTTGTCTCTTTGAAACATCATATAACAAAGTTCCTTTTCTTGCATTGCTATTTTTTTAATAATTATTAATGGAATACGATTTCATAGAGATGTGGTGAAGTAAAAACTTGTTAGGAGTGCATTTAGGAAAGAGCATAGAACAAAATTACTAATTTGGCAAAACTCATTTTTTATCATCAATAATGAAATAAGATTCTGTAAAGATGTAATGAAATAAGTACATGATAGTGAATACCACAGAAGCTTGTGGAACGGTTGAGGTTACGAGCTTCAAGGTACATTGCACTTCATTTGCGGTACGAAAAGGATATGCTGTCTTTTACAGGCTGTACTTACGGCCTTGCTGATAAAGAAGCTGAAGAACTTAGAGTAATGAGGTATTCTCTATCCCTCTTCACAGACACTCACACACAATTTTAAATCTTTTAAATTAATTTGTACTCTTCATTTATTTGGAAATTGTTTTATTAGAAGCTCAAAACATGTGTTGGATTTTATTTCCTTTTATTCTTCACTTGTTTTCAAGTGGCAGGGAAAATAAAAAAAATGTTATAGTGTTGTGTATAATTTTTTATGAATAGAAAAATGGTTTGGTATAATTTATATTTTATTGTGAACTCCCTCAAACTTTTCACTTTCTTTCTCTGTTATCCCAAAATAAACGTGTTATTCCTTTTACAATAAACATTCAATGGCTCACATCATTTCGCTCTCCTCTGAATAAATATTAACCACATAGTTTCACTTTTTATTAAATTTTGTTAAAAAGCAAACAAAAAATTGTTGTTATAAATATCTATCAAATAAAAATATTCAGTCAAAGCCAACCACACAAAATCACTTTTTATTAAATTCTTAAGATTGATTTTTTGTAGTACACGGCAGGATCAATTTTAATGTAGACAGTTCCTATTAAAAATATCTATCAAATAAAAAACATTTAGTCAAAGCCAACAACAACAAACCCACTATTATCCCAACTCCGTTGGGGTTTAGGGGGATTAAATGTACGCATCTTGACTTGTGTAAATAACAAAAAGTTAGAAGCAAAGGAAATTTAATGCGTTATTTTGATTTAGTCCATCATTTACCCAAACCTAAAACATTGTCAAAAAATGACTCTTTTAGTAAAAACTTGTTTATTTAAAAGTAAAATACTTTTTTTTAATAATATATTTTATCCTTCCATGATCATAGAACGTATCGAATATAATGAATGTACCACAACAAATCCTAGTATTATACCTACTCTTTTGGGTTCTTGGAGTTCAAGATGTATGCAACCTTACCCCTGTTGGATAGTTTCTATTACACCCTTTGATGCATGGCTGCATTCACTGCCCAAGATTATATCAGAAGGAGCAAGGGAAGATTAATGTGATATTTTCATTTAGTCCATTATTTACTCAAAACTAAAACATTGTCAATATTGATTCTTTTAGCTCCCATTGACAATGATTTTTTATAGAACATAATGAATGTGCACAATCTTTTTTTATTGAGGCACATACATAACTACCCTTGAATAATGGAATAAAACTATTAGTTTTATATGATATACTCCGTGTAAAAGAATTGAAAACTTTAATCTAGAGAGTGGAAACATTGGAACATGCCTCTTTGTCAAGGAGATCCTTATGAAAGCTAATCAAGCGTGTTTTCCCAATTCACGGTGTCATAACAGAAACTCTTGATATAGCGATCAGTTTTGGTTGTATTGAATTCACACATTGACAGGTGCTCCGTATAATTTGTAATTTGTATGATCTATTAGATGAAAACAGGATATATCCACATGATTTTAAAAAATACTCCTGAATTAGGCTATGCAAGCAGCAGGAAGTCACGGACCTCAATCTTTAATACATAACCAAATAAACATGCCAAGTGGCCCAAGCTTTTCAAACTAGAATTGCATTTGACAATATCTTTATGAATCAAGAAGGATGAGTAGAATAACTGAAAAGGTGATAATTAAATCAAAGCCTTTAGAGAAGCAAAGTAAATTCTGAAGACAGAGTAGATTACCCAAAATTCAAAACATAATGTGATCTAAATATCTCCATTTATATAATAATAGTGGTTGCTGATATTTATACACCTAATTAAATCAAACTAAAATGTCCATTACCAATGTTTTTGCTCCTTTGTCTTAGAGGCTGTCTACATTGTAATCTTGAGACCCCAATGAAGTTGGAATTATACTAGGTTGCTATTGTTGTGAATCCAACTAAAACTTTATTTTTCTAAACATATGCCCCTTCAGTCCCATAAAGAGACTCCACTGCCAACCCTAGTGACTCTAGGGTTTCTGCCGACACATCAAAAGACCACCAAGACAGTCATCTGTTCAAAGTCCGAACAGCCTTGCTGTTCAGTTTGCTGCTGCAATTTTCGAGGTTAGTTCTGGTTGTTTGTTTCAATCTGTTCTCACGTGTTCAGATTTTGGGTACTCAGAAGAGATGAGGATGATGTCTGAGGACGGAAAGATCAGGATAGAGAAGTTTGATGGGCACGATTTTGGATAGTGGAAGATGCAAGTCGAGGACTTGCTATGTTAGAAAGATCTTCTTCCATGTTTGACAGGTCAGAATCCCGAGAAGATGAAAGATGAAGAACGGGCTGACTTGGATAGAAAAGCCCTAGCCGTCATTAGGTGCACTTTGACAAAGAGTGGCTTTCAACATCGTGAAAGAGACTACTGCTCGTTTGGTTATGACAACGTTGTCAAACATGTATGAGAAACCTTCCGCGTCTAATAAAGTATTCTTGATTAGACAGTATTCGTATGCGAGAAGGTGGTTCTGTTACTACTCATATCAATGTTTTCAATACCATTATATCCCGTTTGCTATCAATTGATATCAAATTTGATGATGAGGTACAAGCTTTGCTTTTTTTATCTTCGTTACCGGATAGTTGGTCAGGATCAGTCAGGCTATTAGTGGTTTAGGTGGAAACACCACACTCACGTTTGAGGGAATCCGTGATTTTATCTTAGGAGAAGGAAATACCACACTCACGTTTGAGGGAACTCGTGATTTTATCTTAGGAGAAGACATCAGGACAAAGAAACAGGTGAATCATCCAATTCTCTGCTGAGCACTGAGGGAAGAGGTAGAAAGAAAGAGAGGAGAAACAGTTACAGGGGAAGATCTAAGTCCAAAGGCAGGAGAGGGAGTTCAATGACAAGAAGTGACATCAAGTGTTGAAACTGTGATGAGTACACACACTTCAGAAGTCAGTGCACCAAACCACCTAGAGACAAGAAAGAGGTGAATGCTGCCGCAACCTTAGATTCTGATGATGTCTTAATCTGCTGTGTAGAGACTCAGGTGCGTCGTTTCATGCTATCTCTAGTTCGAGAAAGATGAAGAATCTCGGACAAGGCAACTTTGGTACTGTAAGTCTTGCTAACAATCAACCGTTGGCTGGGGTGGGAGACATTGACTTGAAAACCAACTTGGGAACAGTTTGGAAATTGAAAGATGTCAGGGTAATTCCCAAATGGAGAAAGATGTTGATTTCCATTGGGAAATTGGACGACCAGGGGTATAATGTTCACTTCGGGGGTGGACAATGGAAGGTTGTCAAGGGAAGTATGGTAATTTCTAAGGGAAAGAAACGGGGTACTTTGTACATGGCTGAGAAGGAGATGCAAATGCAGTAACCAGCGGGCTGAGTCTATCGAAGTTGTGGCATCAATGACTCGGCCATATGAATGAAAATGGGATGAAAATGCTTGTCGCCAAAGGAAAGCTTCTAGACCTAAAGAAAGTTGAATCTGAATTCTGTGAACCTTGTGTTTATGGAAAGAAAAGGACCGTATCTTTTGCAAAGACGGGGAGAGTACCTAAAGCTCAGAAGTTAGAGCTTATTTATTCAGATGTTTTTTGTCCAACTCAAGATTCTATGTGACCTTCATAGACGATGCCACATGCAAGGTATGGGTTTATTTTCTTAAAAGTAATGATTTTTTAAGAAATGGAAAACTGCCGTTGAACTTGAAACTGGTGTGAAGGTGAAATGCTTGAAATCGGACAATGGAGGGGATAGAGTTCATGAACTATTGTGCTGAACGAGGCATTCGGATGATAAAGACTGTTCCATGCACTCCTCAACAAAATGGAGTCGCAGAAAGGATGAATAGAACTCTAAATGAGAGAGCCCGAAGTATGAGAAAAAATGCAGGGCTTCCGAAGATGTTTTGGGAAGAGGCAATTAATACTGCTACTTACCTAATCAATCGATCGCTTTCATTTCCGTTGGGTTTCAAAGTACCTCAAGAAGAATGGAAGGGTAAAGCTGTTGATTATAAGCACCTAAAGGTTTTTCGGGTGCAGTGCTTATGATTTGGATCAAGATGGTGATAAGCTAGATGCAAAGGCCAAGAAGTACACCCTTATTGGCTATGGGTTAGACAAGATGGGCTACAGGCTTTGGAACTTTGAAAGCAAAAAGGTAGTCAGAAGTAAACATGCAACATTCAATGAGGCTGAATTGTACAAAGACAGAAAGGAATCAAACTCTAAGGTTTAGAAGCAGTAGGTTGAGTTTGAGACAGGAGCAGAAAACTAGGGAGCTAAGCTGGTTCCTGAACCGGCTTTCGAATAAGAAACTGAAACAATTTTCGACACAGTTCCAGAATTTGAAGTCGGTGGAAATAATGAGACAGTGGGAGTTCAGAGTTGAAGATGAACAATCCCCACAACAATCTGACCAAATTGATCAGTGGGTCAGGAGATAAAGGGTCAAGAGGTCCACCAGAGTTACAAAGAAGCCAGATAGGTATAGTCTTTCAGTTAATTATATTCTCTTGACAGAAAATGATGAGCCAGAAAGCTACTCTGAGGCAGTCAAGATGAAAGATTCTCTCTAGTGGGAGCATGCAATGAAGGACGAGATGCGCTCTCTAAGAAAGAACAGAATTTGGCTAAGCTTTCATGACGTAAGAGAGCATTACAGAATAAATGGGTTTTCAGGATCAAAGAAGAGCATGATGGGTCTTAACGGTATAAATCCCGTTTAGTGGTCAAGGGGTTTCAGCAGGAAAGGGGGGTTGATTACGATGAGATTTTCTCTCCTGTGGTGAAAATGACAACCACCAGGTTAGTTTTGTGTATTGTAGCAACAGAGAATTTACATCTAGAGGAACTAGATGTGAAAACAGCTTTTCTACATGGTGATCTTGATGAAGACATTTACATGACACAACCTGAAGGGTTTCAGGTTGTTGGCAAAGAAAATTGGGTCTGCAGACTGAAAAGGAGCTTATATGGTCTTAAACAGACACCTAGACAATGGTACCTGAAGTTTGATGACTTCATGGAGAGATCGGGGTTTAAAAGATGTGAGATGGATCATTTTTGCTATTTGAAGAAATTCAGCAACTCCTATATCATCTAATTGCTATATGTTGGTGATATGTTGATTGCAGGATCTGATATGAAAGAAATAAGCAAATTGAAAAAAGATATGTCTCAAGAATTTGAGATGAAAGACTTGGATCGAACCAATCAGATACGGGGGATGAGCAGAAACAAGGATGGTTCTCTAACACTGTCCGAGGAGAAATACATAGGGAAGGGGTTAGAGAGATTCAAGATGAATGACGGAAAGACAAGGCCTAGAAGTACCCCACCGGGAAGTCATTTGAAGCTGACCGAAGAACTGTCACCTAATTCTAAAGAAGAAAGATAAAAAATGGCTAAAGTTCCTTATGCATCAGCGGCTGGGAGCCTCATGTATGCCATGGTTTGCACTCGACCAGATATTGTTCATGTCGTTGGCATTGTTAGTCAATTTATGTCAGATCCGGGTAGAGAACATTGGGAAGCTGTCAAATGGATACTTAGATATTTGAAGGGAACCCAGAAAATGGGTTTATGTTTCATGTTTCAGAAGGAAGGATGCTATTTTCAGAGGTTTTACAGATGCTGATTTGGGTGGTTGTAGAGAGACATTTAAGAGCACTGCAGGATATGTCTTTACAATGGGAGGAACAAAAGTGAGTTGGATGTCTAGACTTCAGTAAAGTGTGGCGTTATCTACGATAGAGGCCGAGTATATGGCTGTTGCAGAGGCCAGTAAAGAACTAGTCTGCTTGAAGACTTTTTTTAGAGAGTTGGGCAAATAGCAGTCTAATTACTTATTGTACTGTGACAATGAGAGTGCAGTGAAACTTGCTAGAAATCTAGTTTATCATGGCAAGATGAAGCACATCGAGATGAGGTATCACTTCATGAGAGGATTGATCAGTAATGGAACAATCAAGTTAAAGAACGTCTCAGGTGCTAAGAATCTGGCAGATATGTTCACCAAGTCAGTGGTGCTAGATAAGCAGAAGCTTTGCATAACTTCAGCTGGTTTGCTGGAATAGTGTTGAGGAGAGGGGCAACTAGGGAGATGTGAAGATCAAGGAGGATTTTTCATTTACAGAAGTACAGAGAGGAGCCGCAGTTTGGTCCAAAGACTTCAAGTGGGAGATTGTTGGTGTTATGTAGTCATCAGCCCAAAGTGGCCCACTTGTAGACAACTGAGATTTAGGAGACCAGATTAGGGTTCGGCCGGTCCAAATGTTTTTAAGCCTAGTTTGCTTTAACTTGTTCAGCAAGGGTTAAACCCTAATTAGGTTTTAACTCAATAAAATCATTATCACTCAATAATACAAATCCTAGTTGCCCCCGTGGATGTAGGTCAGATTAGACCAACCACATTAAATATCTTGTGTTCTTTATTGCTTTCTTGCTTTCTATTCTTGTGTGTGTGTGTGCCTTTGTTCCTAACACAACACCTAAAGGAACACAAGCCGCTGAATATGGACTTTGAGGCGGGCAATCGGTTGAAACAGGCCACATGCTGTTGGATATACATTCTACATGAACAACTGGGCTAAAGACTAGTTCCGCTAGGAATGAACGTCTAGACGGACGCCTTGAAAGACGAGGTGGGCTAAAACTAGCTCCGATACCATGATATAATTTTAGGATGTGGTATGAATCATTGGATTGGGCAATAAGACACTTGGGCTGAACCACATAAAAAGATTAAATTCAATTGATTACTTAGTTCAACTCAAGAGCTTATATACTGATTATTTTCTCCTCACTTTTTTGATGTGGGATACTCTCTAACATTTTTTTGTTTTGCCCCAAAAAAGCTTCATTCCTTTTTAAGGAAGCAATTGTGTAGTTAACACAATTTCTCTCCTCTGCACAAAATTCAACCATGCACATTCACCTTTATTAGTAAAAGGGTCCACTCAATTGTAGAACCTTATTTTGTGACGGAGCAAGTACATTACAACATCAAACATGGTAATAGTGTATTGCTGTTTCCAATGAAATAATACTTGGTAACAGTATGACCCTTACCAAGTGAAATAAAACTTAAACTTAATAAGAGTGTACGGAGTATTATTGTTTCCTTGTGAAATAAAACTTGGTAAATAGTGTACCATTTCCTAATAAAATAAGATCATAAAATACAACACCTGCTTTTTGACACTGAGTATTATTATGTCCGTCGTATATTGAATCTAAAATTACACATGAATCTAGTGAACTGTAATTAGTAATGTAATAAATCATTGCATTATATTAAATTCTCCCTCTTGGTAATATATTATTTTTTGGTTTAAACTTTCTTTTTTCGTCAAAATAAACGTGACGTTTCTCCCGTTTTCTGTATAGGAATGGAATATGTGGCTTGTAACACTTCTTTCTAATTTTTGTATAAAATTCAACCACACTTTCCGCTTTTCTTGAACTATGTGAAGTCAAAGTGTAAACTTCAGTGTGCGTGTGTGTCTGCTTTTGTTTTTCATAAGGCGGTTGATCATGGAATATCAGTTTGCCAAAAGTTGAATTGATTCTTCCTTCATAGCAGTTAGTAAAATTTAGCTGAGTATCGTGGTTCAGGTAGCAAATCTATTTTTTTGGATCTTCAATGACAATCTCGTTAATGTCCTTGATGGAATATTATTCTCAACTCAATTTGTTGCTAAGGGAGAATACAAATCATTGGAAGATCAAGAATATCAATTCCAGTGAGCAGAGAATTGGCGGTTTATGTCCTCTTACGCCCAAGGAGGTTGGGATATTTCTTCAAGCTCTTGGTTATCCTATGTCAACATTGATTTATATCGCTGCTGGAGAAATCTATGGTGGTAACACACACCTTTTAGAGCTAACATCCCGCTTTCCAAATGTAGTTTCAAAGGTAAAGTATACTTTTGTGCTGGATTTGATTCTGTAATCAGTAATAATAAATTCACAATTTCTCACACCTTTGACATGTTGTCTTTTAATTGATAGGAAATGCTTGCAACCACAGAGGAACTGAGACAATTTTCCAAACACGCATCTCAAAGTGCAGCAATTGACTATATTATCTCTATTGAGAGTGATGTTTTCATTCCATCACATTCTGGTAATATGGCAAGAACAGTGGAGGGGCATCGCAGATTCCTAGGCCACCGCAAGACAATCACTCCTGATAGGTAGGTGCTCTATAATATAATTCAAAAAATTTTAGTTTATAGCAATTTTGTCTTTAGTAATAAGAATTAAGTTATAAAACGACATTTTAAACTTTTACTCAAATGTTATAGTTTAAGCTGTGAAATTATGCCGTATTTCATAATTTTGCTAAAACTTGCTCCCTTCATCCCAAATTTATCTTTACCATTGCTTCTGGGATGGTGTATAAGAAAATGAAATTGAATGCTTGAGTTTCATTTAAAAAGGCAGAAACAAGATGAGCTTACACTTATTTCTCAATAGGGAAACATGTGTTAGTCGTTTTAGTCGTTGTGCCCACGCCTTAGAGGGGGGGGGTGAATAAGGCGTTGAAAATCTTTTCGGAGTTTAATAAAACGCAGAAATAAAATTGTAAATAAAATGCACACCGATTTTATACTGGTTCGGGAACTCCCTACTCCAGTACCTCGAGGCTCCTCCTCAAGGATTTCTGAATCCACTAAGTCTCGGTCTCTTGAACTCCGTCAAAGCGCCACACTAGTTTGGCAAACAACCCTTGCCAATAGGATTCACTCCGAGATTTTACCACGGCTATCTCGTACCGTTTACAATGAAGATTTACGGCTATCTTCTACCGTTCCCCCAAGGATTTCCAAGGCTATCCTTGAACCTTTACCCAAGGATTTATACGGCTATCCTTGACCGTTACAATGTGAGAATTTAACGGCTATTCTCGACCGTAAGAAGGTGTGTTTGAAAAACACAAACAAGAGTTCTACACAACGGCTTGAATATAAAAATGAAGAACAAAACTTAGCCGGTGTAGAAGGAAAGTATACTCTCTCAAAAATACAATTCAAACTTATGAATATGAGAGTATATAACTAGAAACACAAGCTCAAAGTGTGTGTATAAAAATCAGGAATTTTAAGGCTCTTAAAATAGCCAAAATATAGAAAATAATTAATAAAGGAGTGAACACACTTAGAATATTAAATTAGGATGTTTGGAGCATTGTTTCTTGTGGAAATATGAAGGATTAGGCTTGTATTTATAGTGGAAGATGTTAATTAGCCGTTGGGAGGTGATTAGGGTTGATTTAATTCAAAATCGCAAATCAGGAACAGTAATCCAATGGATCCGGTACCCTTCACGGTAGGGCCAGTACCGTCCGGTACCTAGGTACCGTGACCACGGTATAGCCTACCGTGTGGGGGTACCGTATAGGCCAAAAGGTGGGTTCCTCTCTGGCGGTATCTGGTTAGGACGGGTTGGTCCAACCGTCTGCGCCTACCGTCGGTACCTAGGTACCGTTACACGGTATGGGGTACCGTGTAGGCGGTATACCCTACCGTTTGGGGTACCGCTAGGGTACCGTGCCACTGGCCTGAATTTTCCAAAATTCCCGTAATCCTTCTTGTTTGAGTTTAAAACCTTTTGGATATTTGAAAATGTTTATGAGATGATTTTAAACATATTTTGTGAGTGCGTTTGAGCTTGTGAATATAGGTATATAAAGTCATATTCTTACATTGGTTTCTACCTATATTCTACGCTAGTTTAGTGTTTCGACTTCATTCTTGAGAACCGAATTTTAATGAATTCTTGTTGTACCTGAAACACTTAAACAAACGTCAAGCTCTTATATTGTTTGTTAACATCAAAACATGAGACTTAGCAAACCAAGGCTAACAACATGAACATATTTTTGAGATAGATGAAAAAGTAAAGTGTAAAGCCAATTTTTGGATAAAGGGTCTCATACATGCATTCATTCTAGTAAGATGCCAACATGTAATAGCATAATATTATTACTCTACCTGGCATATTTTTTGTGTTGTGCTTGTGTACGAGTAAAAATGCAAGTTTACAATTTGAGTTTTCGTAACATTTTATCTTTTACGCAAAAGTTCAACCGAGTTTATTTAATGAAAATAAATTAAAAAGGAGAGTTGGTTTTTCAAGGCTTCAATATCAGAAAACCCTTGTGTGTTATAGGGAATTAGCCAATAAACATTGTTTTTTAAAAACTAGCAAATTAGCTAAAGAGAAGATCCTTCCCCCATAGTTTAATTCATAGATACAGTATATCCCAGTAATTTGATGCACGGCTAATTAATGAGTGCACTTTATTAGTAGAACTAGTCGATTCCCAATCTAGCGAATGTTTTAAATGAATATATTTCTTCATTATTTAAGTTAATAGACATTCAAAAGACACACACACACACACAGAGAGAGAGAGAGAGAGAGACACACAGAGACATACATACATACATATATATATATATATATATATTAAGGGCTATTAAAAAAATCTGAAAAACTTCAAAAAAACATGGTGGCAATTTGGTAAATAAACTGAACTTTTCAAAAATGCACTACTACAAGTGTAAAATGCATCACGACAGTCTGAAAATGCACTATTCTTATATTCTCATAGTAAAAATATTCTTACATGAACCAACCCTTATATGTGTGTGTGTGTGTGTGTATATATATATATATATGTATGTGTGTGTGTGTGTATATATATATATATATATGTATGTATGTATGTATGTATGCTCCCTCTGTTCCAGTGCATTTACCTAGTTTGATTTTTTCGAGTCAAACAGGATAAACTTTGAGCTTCAATTAAACAAAAATAGAAATATATATATATATATATATATAAGTCCAAAAATACATTAATTAGATATATCTAACTGGGATCTTTCAAAATTTTATTTTATTGTACTAATATGCAATTCAAATTGAGAGTAATTGAAGCTCAAAATTTGTCTTGTTTGACTTAAAAAAGTCAAAATGGACAAATATATTGGGACGGAGGTAGTATATTGTTATTTTATATTGCGACAAGTTCTTTAGTGTATCTGTGGGTTTTAGTGCATCTTCGTATAACATCAAGTACATTGTATATTACGGATGCACAAAGTTAATATGACAATGACTTTTCAAATATGTTAATATATTGTATGGTTTGAGCTAAAAATCATATGCGTCAATAATTAACAAATTATTTGTGCCAAAAAGAATTTACCATGTGAAAATGACAAATGTTTTAACTTCCAAAAGTAGGTTGGACTCAAAAGTAGGTTGGACTGCATGAAAAGTATGTAGAAATTAAGTGATAGGATGAATATAAAATAGAGCGAGAATCAGTTTGTGGGGATATGGGAATGGTGACCAATAGACCGACCACAAACCGACTTTTTTTTTTAAATTCAATGGCGTTTTGGATGGTTTGCTTTAAGGCTTTAGTATGAAAGTTCCCATTTCAATGCCTAAAATGACTCTATCATCCTCTGGTTGGAAGACACACATGAGCACCTTACCCATGGTACTGCAGATAATTTGTTTTGAGTACTTATTTGCTAATGATAAGAGCAGGAAAGGCCTTGTGGAAATATTTGATCAGCTGGAAGCTGGACGTCTTAAAGAAGGGCCGTTTTTATCGCATCTTGTGATCACATTGCACAAGAACAGGTGATGTGACGTGGCTCTTTTGTTTAGTTTGCTCCTACAGTTAATTCTTAGATTTCCAAGACCCGAGATTCGACAGTGAATTGTGTGTGCAGACAAGGTGCTCCTAGAAAGAGAAGAGGTGCCCCTGAAGGTATCAAAGGTCGAGCACGCTTCAGGTTCGAAGAACCTTTTTACCAGAACCCATACCCTGAATGCATATGTGCTCCCAACATGACTCCAAGCTGAGGGAGGGAGGGAGGCCATGGATTCTCCCACTCTCTCTTCAACTTACCAGAAATAAATAATTCATTGTTTCTTATATTAAAAAAAAAAACCAAAACACAAAACCATCTTAATGTTGCTTCTCTGTATATCTCAGTTTCTGAATATTCTTCTCCCTTTACTAAATTGTTACTTGCTTTTTGTTTTTGCACAATATAAGCGATAATATTTGTGCTAGAAATGTTCGACCCAAATATTCTGACATCAGATTCAGGTTTTCATATTCCAATTTTCAGTTTGAAGACTTTATAAGGTCTAGACATCAGTCTGTCCGGACACTTGGGTTTGAAAGTGAATTATTCTTTTGCCTTGAGTTCGTCATTAAAGAAATATTTCACGAATGAGCTTCAAAGAAATGCATTTGTCAACAATTGAGTTGAAAACAGTGAAATCGCTCATTGGAAACACCCTGCTTAGTTGAATGATGATTATTGAAATCACTTATTTATTTCTCTAAGTTTACATTATTTAATAAAAAGGAATATGAAAAATTGCTGCAGGGTATTCCCCATTTTGGGATAAGAACTCGGAGATCTTATTATTTTTCAAAATATACTTCATGGTACTTTAAAACATACTCCATTCGTCCCACAAAGCCCTTCTCTTTTCCTTTTTTTATCTGTCCTAAAAAATCTTTCTCTTTTTTATTAAAAAGTCACTTTTACCCATATTAATTTTTAGACTACTTGTACACTACACTTTTTCTCTATTAATCTATCTATCACATTTTACTTTATCCATCACATCAAAGGGCATTTTTGAAAAATCATTATCAAAATATACTCAAATTTTTTAAAAGTCAAAATAAAAAGTTTTTTACAAGATAGAGGGAGTATGAAAAATTACTCCGGAGTGACAATCCGTTCCTCTCTCCGTCGAACACAATTCTCCGTTATCTTCTTTTTTATCATCACCATCTTTCAATCTTCATTTTTCTTCTTTTCCTTCCTATCTGATACAGCTTCCTCCTCCCCTTTTTTTCTTCTTCTATTCCTTCTTTTCTTCTATTATTATTATTATTCTATTATTGTGATTATCATTATCATTATTATTTATTAGTTTTATTATTGATAAATTTAATTAGTAGTTTTACTATATATTTTTTTTAGCAAAATAACACTAAGGCCCCATCAAAAAAAAAATTGTATGTCCCCGTTAACCTTTTTTTTTTTAAAAAAATCTTCACTTTAGTAAAAATAGGTTAAAACATTATAAAGCTTTAATTGAAAATTAATTTTAGCAATTTATTTATGTATAGTTAAGCAAATTAAGATTATTTATCCACTTCGTTATAAATTATACGTCATAATTCATAACAATAATATGAAATTTAACACTACTTTTATCGTTTCGTATTATCTTTAAAAAAATCTAGAGGCACTAAACCCGTCTTACTTCTGCCCCAAGTCCTCTCATTTTCTGGATTCACCACTACCAATAGCAGATGCGGATGACTACTGTGTGACTAATGTGAAAGACAATAACGAATGACAAAATTTAGAGTAGTAAAACTACTAATTATTTTCTAAAATAATACTCCTTCCGTTCCAATTTAAATCGCATGTTTTGATTTTTGGGCATATTTAAGAAAAATAAAAAATAGAATTGATTTTCCAAAATTGCCATTACTTTTTAGAAGGGGTGATGATGAATGAGAAGATAAGGTGAAGAAGACTGACTTATTTTAGGGGTAGTTTAGGTTTTTTATTTTTAAAAGTTTACGGAAACAACTAACAGGCAACTTATTTTAGGACGGAAAAAAAAGGCAAACAGACAATTTAAAATGGGACGGAGGGAGTAACAATAAGTGTCATTTTAAATATGATACGTGCTATTTTTCTAAATAATAATTAGTGTTATTTTTCTTCAAAAAATAGAGTAAAAAAACCACAAATATATTTTTAATAATAATAATAAATATAGAATAATAATAAATAGTAATAATAATAATAGAAGAAGAAGAAGAAGAAAATAATAAGAAATAAATAATAATGATACGAAGTAATAATAGTAAGTACAGTTATCAAAATTTCAAACTTCAATTTTTAGTTTCCAGACTCTAGTTAAACTTAAAAATAATACTCCGAATTCAGGTAGTTTAATTTTAATACATTCAAGATTTCAATTTCTTGATTCCACAGTTCCCGTCTCCGGATCTTACATTTCAATCAAAGCAAGCCTTGTTTGATCCAAAAATGCTCATTTTACATAATGAAAAACCACACTCTCAAACCCGTCCTCCGTACGTACTTTAGCTTGCACCGAAAAATTTCTTTTCCGTACGTACCATTTCATTTCCATGCAATGGAAAATCATGTTTCCCCTTCATCGTGAGCAACTACCTTACGAAACAAATAACAAATTAACGCACGATACTTTGTCACTGTAAACTATACATTACTGTGCAAAATTGTCGCTACCTTGTAATTGTAGAATTGCTCCTCGCTCTGCACATTATTAAACCATCTATAAGTAATACGGTATAATGTTTATAAAGTGCTGAATTGTGTTTTTCACATCAAATGCAATGAACATTTTCTCTAGGCAAATAAAGAATTCTATAACCAACACAACACACTTTTTTTTAATCAAGGAATCACAAATGAAATTACAAAGACCAAAAACTTTCAGCACATTGATGAAAACACAACAAAAACATGCAGCTTTATGAGCAGGCAGGCAGCAAAAGTATGCTCCCTTCATCCTACAACTTTATTCCCGTTTTGATTTGGTACACTTTATTAATACGAAAATGAAATTGCATCGTTGAGTTTAGGGGAGTATATTACTCCATAATTTTTTCCCTTGTTTCCTACCATGTAAAACATTAGAATGGACTAAAAGCCTGCCAAAATACTCCAGAAACAATCAACTTCTTCCCATTCTGGTTAAGTCGTTCACTTCCTAAAAGATATCATTTTCAAGAAATGAGTTTAAAATGTGAAATAAGTCTTTCAATTGTGTTTTGTCACTCATTCATCACAATTTCTTCATTGAATATAGAAAGTGGACAAACAAATTTCAAATAATTGAAAATAAGAAAGTGGACAACTAATAATAGCAACACCTACGTGAGATTGTCTCACAGAGCTTGCTCCCATGGGTCTGTTCAACTTGCAACTAAAGCTCTTGGGCTAAAAAACTATATTGCTTCATAACATTATTTTTTCACATGTGGTAGCGTTAAATTGTAAAGTCACACATGTTTTTTTTTTGTCAAATTAAATAGACAAAAAAAGACTGGATGTTGAATTATAGAAGGGATGTAGACTAGCTATACATCCTCTCCACATAAGACATACACCAAGTTCAGGTTTATTGTTTCTACATTTCCATTGAATGCCAAATACACAAGAGGATGAACCATCAAATGAACATGGTTGATAGATTTATATTGTAGAGTGTGCATTCTTGTTTCGCATATGATTCCGGGTATATAAGCACACTGCTCAATGGTGCCTGTAGCGGGAACAACACAGACGTACCCAACATGTTAATGAAAAAAAACTTACCTTTGAGAAAGTGTAGATGTGTATGTTGCATGAAGATAAGAAAGTAGTATCTCATTCCACACATCAGGCACTCCAGGTAGACACCAGTGGCTACAGTCAGATAGTGAGGGATTGTCGCTCCAAGTGCCCACATGGGCATCACTCCTAAATGCAGACATGGGAGTGATATGCAGGACAGTAACAGGGACGGTCATCCTTTTAACAACATCGAATATTGCATCTGAGAATGAATTGTTTCCTTCTCCTATGGCCTCTGAAAGAGGTTGGTTTGGCACGTCACATTCACGCAGTGTTAGATTCCTGAAGCATGGGAAAAATTCTTTTCAAAATTATTCTTTGACACAATAAAGGTTCTAAAAGAATTAATATATACTCCCTACATCCGAATTTAGTTGTCGACTTTCTGGTTTTCATTTGTCCGGACTCCGGAGTTAGTTGTCTACTTTCCATATGAACATTGTTGAGATGAATTAGTGGCAAACTCATTTGAAGGACATATTTTACATTGATTTCCTAAAAACAAGATTTTTTTTGAAAGTGTGGATAACTAAATCCTGATGGAGGGAGACAGGGAGTATATAAGAAAACTAATTGTTTGTCATTAGGGTACCTCCAATGAGATGGTTCATATGTTCTGAAAAATACGCTTGTTCTATTCGGGTTAATGGTGGCATCAACCCAGGACGCCCATGTTTGTAGAGCGGTTCTGAAAGCCATCGGTATTGACATTCCAAGTTTGAGTGTATGACCAACTTGAAAATAGCACCCTCTGTTGAATGATACAATTCAGTATTTAACACAATTTTAAAAAATGTTTTTTTTTCAGGCCAGACCCCAACGTAGTTGAGATTATACTGGGTTTGTTGTTGAATAATAAGTAATTTTATTCTTTATATGCATTCAGCATTTCTCATGCACTTGATGTATAACAATACATATACTTTGGTGACGTTATACGAAGAAAATTTGAAGGAATGATTTCTTGTTTGCAGATAAAAACTTCATATATTTTTAAAGAAATGCTGTCATTTATCACATAGATGTAAAGGATCAATTTTCAAATCTTTGAAGCATTCTATGGTGCAAAAGAGATGATCAAAACTGAGATCCATGAAGGAATCAACATTTCAGTTATTCCAAATTTATGTTTTTACGAAGACCTTCAGGTCCAAGGAGGAAAAAACACTCCTTGCAGAAACCAAACAATGCACAATACAAACATTGGTGTGTGAGCCCATGAATATGCAATCTACTTAAAAGAAGAATATAATGAATGGCTTAAAGTTAAACATGGAGGTGAAGAAAGAACACTTACGTTCCGAAAAGCTTTCCCGGCACCCACCACTGTCCGGAATTGAAAACCAGTATGTCTGCATTACTCCACTCAGCGCTAATATCATCCAACCTGTCCAGTCGAAGTGTTGACCTAACTCTCTTGGGTGCACGTTTAGCCGACCAACTGTGTTGCACAAGATAAACTGATCTGTAAAACTCTACACTGAAGTTAAAGGAACCAAACCTCACCCCTAAAAACCAGATTTGCTTCGTTATAGCATTCCCATTAACTTCAAAAACACTAGTCTTGTCCCTCACCCCCGTCATCAGCAAACATATCAAAGATTCCCATTGTGTTCTACCCATCGAGTCACCCACGAAAACAACCCTTTTGTTCCGGAGCATTTCCAAGGCACCATCCACATTGAATCTCGGAACATCACATCTCTCGGGCTTCCATCTCAACTTCACGTAGTCTCTATCGGGTCGGCCATTTGCCAAACAGTTAAACCCTTGCTCCACAAAAGGGCATTCGGATGCATTGTACAACGGGTAGCGGTTATCCACGACCCAATCTCCATCACCATATACATCACACTCACTATCAACACCATTGAAGGCTGGAACACTGGCTACTTGAAGTGCTTGGGTATGGCCCGGGTGGACATACAGATAGCCCCCTCCAATCGCCAAAAGAAATGAAACCACAGATCCAATCACAACGAGTATTCTAAACAATTTCGAAACCCAGCTCTTCCTGCTAACTCTAGGGCTCCCAGGAATCACTGACCTCGCTCTAAATGAAACACTTCTACCCAAACCACTAAGCTTTTCCGAACCCATAAATTGATGGGTGGAAGGAATAAAACGGCTAATACTTACACCATAATAATAATAATAATAATAATAATAATAATAATTATAATCTAGGAAAAAATTGAAAATATTTCAAACCCAGACACCAGATAATGGGCGGTAGGAAACAAAGAACATAAACGAGGTAATCATCATTTGAAATCCGCAACTTGACTTAACTAATACTCCAATGAGACGAGACCCTAAATCTGTGAATGGAGAATGTGGAAGGCGGTTGGTCGGGGGGTGAATGGGGGAAGCAATTTTTTGAATTATAAACGAGAATTTAAAAGCAATCTGTTGCAAGGGTCCTACCCCTGCTTGGAATTCACCCAGAACAGAGTGGCCTGAGATTGGAGCTGCTGGGCTGTTAAGGTTTATCTAACTCAACGTCCTAATCAGAACCCAACGGTTTTTAGTCTGCAATTTTTTTTGGATCAGATGTGCATTGTCGCTTTTGATTTCTTTATTCCATGAATGGAGCTCTCCTTTCAACTGGTCGGTTGTTAAATTCAACGACGCATCAGGCCATCATCATATTCTATCGGAAGAATATCACTCTTTCTTTAGCTGTTTAGCATCTCATTTTTTATTGTGTGCTCCGTAAAATAATTGATTTAGTTTTTGTTTTGTTTAAAGAAATTGATTTCATTGATTTCATTTTTAGTTGAAGCATATTTTTTTTTATTTCTACATTAATTTTAAAATAAATGAAATTTTAAAAAAATAAATTCAGCCGGTGCTCCCACAATAATCTTTTCTTACCTTCCACCACATTTGACACAATAGAGCATCTTTTTAAGATAAAGCTATTTGTACCCCAAGGGTTTTTTTTTATCAAAATGCTCATTTTATTAAATAAACGAAAGATACAAATGTTTGAAAAGCAAGAACAGGCTCCACGCTTGTATAAAAGAAATAATCAACAACAGTCGAACTATGATGCGAAGAGCTAATCTGATATAAGAGAACATATACTTAAGTACAACTAACAAATCGAGCCCACAACATTCCACTAAAACCATAACCCAAAACGAATCACTCCGAAAACCCTTCTCGAAGGAAAGGCCTAAGGTCATGGTTTAAGGTCGGATCTAGAAGAAATCATTCCCGGAGCCCCAACCCCCGCAAGGGTAAGGCCTAAGGTCATATAGTCCAGATCATTAACGGTTAAGAGCAGAATGACATAAAACCAAGAGATGTAATTAATCCAAGTATAGTCCAACATAAGAAGAAGAGCTCCTAGGAAATTAAACAACTAGCAATTGAAAAATAATCAAAGGAAAATGAGATATGAGAACTAAAATAAGACCCAGCATGGGCCCATCAACAATTGGTACAGAATCCAAGCCCAGTCCAAGTGTATGTGACTTGTACCTCGGCCCAAACAAGGGCCCGCGTCTCCATGATGCCCAACCGCCATGTCCATTGCCGAAATGAGGAAGGCCAAAAAACCAGCTCGGCCCAATCATAGGCCCACATTCGAAGTAATTCAGACCCAACCGAATGGCCCAGCAGAAAAAGCCCAAGCCCAGCAATCCAGCCCAAGCTCTCCATCAGTCCATGCGCCGAACCAAGCAACCGGCCCAGCACCATCTCAGCCCAAACCAGCAGCCCAAGGACGAAGCCCAGCACCAAACCAAATCCAGGAAGCAAAATCCAAGATGAGAGTGACCAAGCATCCAAAGCGTGAATATCCAAGATGAGACCAATGAAGATGAAGATCAAGAGAACGAGAAGAAAAGAAATACCACTATGGGTCAGTGGCCAACCCTTAGCCCATTACCGTCGAACGATAGCGAGGGCTCTATCCTCACGCGCAAGCACTAATGCAGGCGAAGAAAGAAAGCCTCGCCGGGCTCCACCCAGCCTCCCGACGAGATAGAAAGAATAAGAGGGAGGCAGTGTCCTAAGTCGCCATGGAGAACCACAACGACCTCCCGCTTAGCCCACCCAAAGAAGAAAAAGAAGTACCACTTTAGCCAGCGGCCGATTGATAACCCCATCGTGGGAACTTACGGGTGTTGAAATCCTCGCGCGCCAGCACCAACGCACCCCGTTGTAAGTGTAGCATGGTCCATTTTTTTATTGGTGTGAAGATAGATGAAAAGATGACCGTGTTAAAATATGGCTATAAATGCTTACCAAACGTCCAAAAGGTTAATTATCGTCTCCATTCGTGTCTATTTATTTGTTTAAAATGATTATTATCTGTATCCAATAAATGACATCCATTGAAAAGTAGATATAGATTTGATAATCGTAGATACGATCTGTTTGAAATCCAAGTTCCATGCACATTCATTTGAGTAATCATTTATCCACTTGTACGATGTGTAATTCATCATCTTTCTTAACTTAAGTTATTTGTTTACTAGTTAAAAGACCAGTCTTTAACAATTTTTTACCCATTTTCGCTACTCATTTGATAAAATATATTATCATATCACATCTAATTTTTAGAATTCCTTATGTAATTTTTAAATATATAAACTTCTTTTTAATCTACAATAACTTTCGAATAAAATGAATTATAAATCAATTCAATCAAACTTCATAAATAATAACATGCAATTTAAATGGGACAAAAAGGATATGTTTTATATGTATCATATTTTATATATTAAAAAGTAATTTACTCACAAGAAAATCAAAGTATGAAGCTATCTCCATGTAACATTTTATGTGTAATATCTACCAAACAAGCTTAGAAGATTTAATTAGTAAAAAATATAACTAAAAATTGAAGAAATTAATTTGGGCTAATTGTTTGACTTGGGCCAAACTCAACAACTAATATATATATATATATATATATATATATATATATATATATATATATATATATATATATATATATATATATATATATATATATATATATATATATATATATATATATATATATATATATATATATATATATA